CCCCAAAACCCCAAAACCCCAAAACCCCAAGACAATAGATAGATTATATTTAATAAGAATTATAGAAATTTTAGAGATAAACGACAATTATAAATTATTATTACAAGAAATGAAATAGATAGCAATTGATTAAATAGATGATAAACTTATGTCCTAGTAAGATGGGAGACAATAACTTGATTATGAATATCCATTTAGAGGAAGTTCTTCATCAATCAACGAGAATCATTCAATCTAAAGTTCAAGTTTATCATCAAGTAAATTGATAGCCAGCTAATTTGAGGTTGTTACAATAAAAGGAAGTAAGTATATTGCATCCAAATTAATCTAGCCTTATTATCAAAATCTTTTTAGATCAAGTGATACAAAAAAGAAAATTCCTGCTTTGAGATGCTTTAATCATATTAATCAACTCTTGCATCTGTGGAAACTTTCAGTTTATATGGTTTACTTCATATTTGTATCCTTTTTCAAGTAAGATAACAATAATTTCATACTTTCTTGAGATTTCGTATTTCTTTGTACAGGTGCAGTAATCTCTTCAATTTCATGTCATCTCTTATTCTGAACGTTTTAAATCACTAAATTAAGGTAAGATTAATTGTGCAAAATTCTATTTATTAGTTCTTTTTAAGAAATTGCATATAACTTAGGTGGTGGTAGGGCAGCTATTTTATTCATTACTACAGCAATAGTATTTTATTCTATTCTACTACCATTACAAAATCTAAGTAATAATTAAATTCATAGAGATTATTTCTGATTAATTATTCTTTAGTCTATATCAATAGTTATTTTCTGTTGTTATTTGTAGATCATAATACTTATGGCTTTGATTGGTCACCTGGATATTATCTTGCAGTAGTGACTGTTACTATTTTCTAAATTTCTTTTTCGTTTATTAGAGAAATTACTTCAATCAAGGTATCATTTTAATGATTATCAAATTTTTAGTACATTAGCTACATTTAGACATTTCTGGCAATTTCTATACCTATAGTCTTGATTTGTTAGATTATAATGAAGCAAAAATTTAAGCTGATAGTACCATAAGAAATTAGATTACTTTATGCACCATGGGTTGTGCTTGGATACTACTTCTAAATTTTTGAGTTTTAAATATACTACCTTTGGATATTCTAAAATTCAAGTCAAAAACTAATAAACTAGAATGGCCAGAAAATCCATTTAATTTCTTCACTAGCAATATTAAGCTATGGTTTATTATTTGCTATTCTCAGCTTCTTAATGTTTTATGTTGATAATGGGAAAATAGAAATAGTGGTTACTAATAGAATTGAACTCTAATAATTTCTTTTCAAATCACCTGCTGGAAATTTATTTTTATTTCAAGAGATCATGCAGCAGATCTTAATTTTTCCTTTCAATTTTTTCATTGCAAAAGAGTTTTTCTGTATTTTATATGATGAACTTAAGAATAAATCAATTTCAAATAAGATGCTAGATCTTTAACAGTATCATTCCATAAAAGGAGTATATGTTGATTAAATGGTCAAAAAGATAAGTATTGAATTATATCAAATTGTGAGGTAGCCCTACCTCAAACTTAGTAAGAAAGAATATGTAATCTATAGTAATTACCTTGATGATTCCAATGATAATATTTAATCTGAACTTTATGATAGATCATGATCTTTAAGGCTTTAGATTAGTTACTTCTTTGATATATATAGCAGCTTAAATAAGAGCAGCAGTAGTACCCTGCTTGATATTTATCTTGCCAGGAATACTTTACTATAAATCTGTTTAAATTTATGATGTTAAGTAAGTTAATT